GAACTTGAGCTTTTGATCCCAATTTTAAATTGATACATGTAATATAAACCGCGGTTTATAATAGGACTTTACTAACTTACAACAGTCAGTCATACTAACTTACAACGATCAGCCATACTTACTTACAACAATCAGTCATACTTACCTTACAACAATCAGTCATAGTTACATTACAACAATCAGTCATACTAACCTTACAACAGTCAGTCATACTAACCTTACAACGATCAGTCATACTTACCTTACAACAATCAGTCATACTCACCTTACAACAATCAGTCATAGTTACATTACAACAATCAATCATACTCACCTTACCAAAATCCAATGTAAGCATTGGATTACACTCACCGAACAAACCCAGTCTGGCCCTAATTCGCAAATATTGGTTTGCTGATGGGTCCTGTTCTATTTTTGAGTTGAATCTTTTCACAGATATAGGCTGTTCGAAAATTGTACATACTTTTGAGAGGTTCCAAAGTTAAGATGGGGCGGAAAAGTATTTTCTCAAGTTTTCTGAATTTTTTTCAAATTACCATTTGGATTTTTGTTTGTGGCTCCTGTTTGTGGTTTGCAACTCACAGTTGAAACTTGTAATGTCTTACTAAAACCAGTCCATACATTTGTTTGTATATCCATATGTGTGTCTGTGTCAAATCTTGTTCCAGTGATATTTCAAGAACCACTTGTTGGATTAGACTGAAACTTGGCATACAGCTACTATATCATAAACACCAGAATTACATTTTGATACAAATCTATGCATGTTAATTAGGTAATTTGAATAATAGTCCACTTTAGGCTGTTTACTGTATATTTTTATATATGTATTTGTTTGCACAATTGTATTGAAACTTGGTAAATAGTTACTGTTTGTGTGGACCTGATATATGATAACAGCTAGCTTCTAATTAATCTAATTAACTATTTTCCGCTTGTTCATTCTGTATCATAACGGTTTGCTCCAATGGGTTGAAGCTTGGTACATAACACAATCGATTGTCTGAATAGATAATAAATATTTTGTTGAGTTTAATTAATTTTGTTTGTATCATAACATTTTGATCAAGTTGATTGAAACTGATGATATTTTGAAATGAATCTGATGGGGACTTATGAATTGACTATTGTGTGTTCATGTGTGTGTCCAGCCATATCCAGCCATATCTTACAATGCTTGGACCAATCAAGTTCAAACTTAACACATATATCATACATATATTATTGTGAAAGATTGAACTTAAACATAACAAAAACATTAGTAAGTAACAGGTCACTAACAAATATGAAATACAAAATCAACACTCAAGAAATTACATCATGTAAGGAAATTGCGCTAACCGAGCACAATATGAAATTCACTTCATCCTAGATTGTGAATTGTATAAGAAGGAAAGGAAATTCATATTTAAAGAAAGTGATATCAAAAGAAACCAAAAAGAGTTGAGTAATAAAGTTATACTATTATTATATCAGACATATGGCAGCCATTTTAAGTCAAAAATTCCATCATTCTGAAACCAGATCTCATAGATTTGATTTGAACTTGGTATATACATAGAACACAATGGGATCTTGATGTACATCATTTTAATTTTTGGATAGAGTTCAAAATGGCCAACTGGATCCATATATCTGACAAGACTTGATTGATCAGTTTGACAACCTGTGATTGAAGTTTAAACTTCACACATAGTATATCGGACTGCACTTGTTATGCATTTGTTTCATGATCCAATTCAAGATGACCAAAAATGTGTTTCAGTCATGCATTGACAAACTTCTCAGTATCTAAAAAGTTCATGGACAGAATTCCCCCTAATTTGGTATATGGTTGATATGTGATATAGATATGCCCAGGAAAATAACCTTTATAATTTTATAACATATTCTTTATTACACGGTTCATATGGGTGATTGTCTGTCATCGTTTATCATCAATTGCATTTTTGACTTCTTGAAAACTACCAGCCCAATTGCCTTGACATTTAAGATGTAGGTACCTTGGTATGAAGGTACCCTGGCTGGACCCTTTGTCAGATTCCCCTCACTTTGTCTATGTTCATGGGAGCATAGACATTGTAGACACATATATGCATGTTAAGTGTCTTGCAGTCCAAGATATATAGCTCATAGTGTAGAACTGGAACACACTTTTGTACAAAAAGAAGAATATAAATGATGAGCATTTAATTGTCATACTAGTACAAGAAATGTTTTCAATGTACATAGCAAAAAGAACCACAGGATGTTTTGAGGTTTTTATTACATTTCTCTGCAAAGTACCCTTGAGGGAGCTGGAATACAATGGGAACAATCCTTTAATCTTATTTTGACACAACATTGGTGACCACATCAACTGACAACCTTGGTGACCACTCTTTCCATCATATCATTTCACACAACATTGATGTCCACTCTTTCCATCATATCATCTCACACAACATTGATGTCCACTCTTTCCATCATATCATCTCACACAACATTGATGTCCACTCTTTCCATCATATCATCTCA